GAATCTAGGCGTCCAAGCCTTCTCGTGGCCGGATTCGAGGCTCTGTCGGCCCATGTCATAATTCAGCTTAGAGTAGAGCATCGCCTCGTCTTCAGACAGCGTTGCACCGCTGATGCGGCGAAAAACAGGGACTTTCAATTTCTCCTTCTTCCAGCGGATTGGCATACAATCTCGGGGACCCCAAACATCCCTCGAGAGGAGACTATACGCGTCGGTTAGGCAAGCCGCATCGAACGCATGGTCATGTAGGGCCAGTGCCACGATGACCATGATCGCGTCAAAAATTAGCTTCCTTGTAGGCGTGAAGAAGAAAATCGTCCTAACACGCGATTAGCAGTCGACCAGACGGTAGTGAGGTGGCATACGGGATAGAACACACGGCTTTGGCTTGTTGTCTGCTCCTTTGTGGTGGATAAACTTGATGGCCATGGCCAATACGGGCTTCCCCGTAGTAGGGTGCCGCACAAGCATCAGAAGAATGTCCTCATAGCAGAGAGCTTTAGGACGGCCTCTCTTGATTGTCTCTTGTAGAAGCATCTTGTTGAGCTCCACGGATTGCTTGTCTAGCGTTTGATCCGCGCTACCGTCGTTTTCCACTTGTTGTATGACTTTCTGGCCAAAGAGTATCTCTCGAGAGCCATCCTTCGGACCTTTTCTCTCGCCATCCACAAGCTCTGCAGGTCGGGCCCCAGTGTAACATAGGAGCTGGTAGCAGCCGGCCAACTGGATCCGATGACGCCCGAGGCTGAATACGCTCGTGTCGTACGCGATGTTGAATGTCAGGATGACCCGGAGACTGTCGACATTGAGGACCGGCTTGCCGTCGATGTTCGGCGCTCGGAGATTGAAGCGAGGGATCAAAACATTGCGGTGGTACTAGGCTACGGTTAATAGGCATGTTAGGGTGCTCCAGCTCGGAGGGTTTTACCTTGTAGACTTCCTTGGCATCATTTCTATCCATATAACGCCCTGTAACAGTCGTGTAGAGCTGCTGGAATTGACGAATATACTCTTCTGACGTACCCCACGACCGGACGTTGTAGTTTCCGCAGACGAAGAGGAAAAAGTCCATCGTAGTGGCACGGGTCAGGTTAACAATCGTCGCTCGCCAGTCGCCGACCTCCTTCTCACTGCAGTAGCTGCACCGAGGTCAGCTGCGGGCTCCAAGATGGACTTGTAGGCGATCTTGGCGTACCGTTTCCATCTTCCAAAGATGCCGGAGACGTTGATCTCTGTTTCAGCAGAGTACTTGGGCTTCACGAATCGGACGGTGCTGAGACACTCCCGGTTCGCGGCGTGCTGCTCGGCCGAGAGCGGCGTGGGCTTCGGTGCTCTTTCAAGCTGCTTGGCCCTTTGAAACTGGAGGAAGTCGAGGTGGTGGCTGTCTGGAGCGTTTGCATGATGTGTGCGGGCGACGGCGCTTGGCATCATGGAAGGATCGTTTCTGTTGATCTGGGGCGGAGGTGGCCTGGGTTGGAGGCCACGACGGACTTGGGATGATGAAGAAAACGAGAGGGGAGGGGAAGCGAGCGCGCCGCCGCTCTATATACTGTGGTGCCGGCCATTCTGGTGGTAAAGGCCGCCAGAATACGTGGGCGGCAAGAATAGGACAACAGCCAACGATCAGCAGGAAACGAGAATTGACGTAGTAAGTAGGCTCCTGTTGTTGGGGGCGGGCGTGGATCGGTTGTGTAGCCAAGACCGCCCGAAGTACACAGTACCTGACAGGGGTGGGCCTGGAGCTTCAGTTCCCTCACTGCTGTTGCCGCTAAAAACGGCGGCAGAACCCGCCAGATTTGGTGGCTCCAGCAGCGCATCTTGCATTTAAAGAGTAAACTAAGAAGTTTAGGTAATTTTATAAGTACTTATATCTTTTTTATAATATAACTAAGTTAACTAACTATTAATAATATAACTAATATTAAATAATAAAGATTTATTTATAACTAGTTTTAACTTAAACTTCTTATTTTATAATTATA